TTCACGTTAATGGGAAGTCTTCTTCACAAACGAAGGTTAATTATGGCGTTCCACAGGGTTATTTGCTACGACCGAATCTGTTTACATTATACCAGCTTCCCTTAGGCTATATTATTAGAAGACATAGCATACATTTTCACTGCTATGCAGATAACACCCGGATTTATCTATCCATGAAGCCTGATGACACACAAATTAGTTATACTAAAGGAATGTCTTAAAGCCATTTTGTTCTGTTTGTAAATTCAGATAAAACTGGCGTTATTATACTCGGCCCTAAAAACCCTTAGAAACATGGTGTCTAACCACTGTGAGGAATCCTGGAATCATTTTTGTCCAGGATACTTCCCTCAATGCACATATTCAGAAAATATGTAGAACTGCTTTCTTGCATTTGCACAATATCTCTAACATTAGACACAACCTGTCTCAGAGTGATGCTGAAAAACTAGTTTGTGCATTTATTACTTCTAGGCTGGTCGTTCTTAAAACTCCCTGAAAAGCCTTCAGTTGATCCAAAATGCTGCAGCAAGACAAGTGACAGGGACTAGAAAGAGAGAGCAGATTTCTACCATATTAGCTTCTCTTAACTGGCTCCCTGTTAAATCAGGAATTAGATTTAAAACCCTTTTCCTTAAAAACAAGGTCTTGAATTATCAGGCCTCATTTGATCTTATCTTTAAGTCCTCACAGTACAGTATCAGTACAAAAGTGGAGCACTTCGCTCTGCTGGGTTACTTGTAATTCCTTGAATTTTTTAACCTTAACTCTACTTGATGTGACATGTGAGGCAGAAATTCATTGTGCAGCTCTCTGTGGTACTACAATGTTCACTGTCTACAGTGGGCATATATGAAGTCCTACCTGCTCCTCCACCCTGCATGAGCTTGAGCAGGACATAAATACACACTGTAACAGCTAAAGTGTGCCAGCTGCTGCCATCAGTCAGTTCATCCACTGAAAACAGATGAGACAAAATGAGGCTTTCAAGCTGTGGTGAAAAGATTCAATGAATAAATAAAAAGCATTATGAGATTTTAATCTGACTGCAACAATGTCACTGCAGTACCATCAGTGTGTATG